ACAATCAGCAATCCCAAAATTGACAGAGGGAATTCATTACCAAATCACAACCACAAACAACATTAATGACAAATGAATGTAAATTATACATTTGTTTGTTAATGTTATTCATATTCAACAAAAAATCAAAATCACCAACTGAGACAAAGAGTAAAAATAAGGAGTTCATTACAAAATAAAATCTAAAAATAACAATAATAACAGGGGCAATGTAAACATATACATTTGTGATTAGATTATATTATCATTGTTTGAAAAACAGAGGGTGGAAGGATGGTAATTACCTTTGGTCCTCATTGTGGGTGGAATATGTAAATTGACGGCCGGTGAGAACCTAGGAAGAACAAACCCCAATCCTTTCGATGTAAACTTTCGCAGTGGTGCGTTGATGTAGAATAGCAGTGGCCGGCGATGGTTGATGGTGGTGGACGACGGTGGTGAGGCGATGTGAAATCTAGGGTCACGGTTTGAGAATTTTTTGGTGCCAACAATGAGTTTTTTTTGGGGAATAAATGTGTTGTGGAGTGAAGAGATAGAATAGCAACGGTTGAGTTTTCAGAATGGAGTATGTGCAGGAGAAATGGAAGGATGGTATTTTGGTTTTACTACACTGAATGGAAGCTAATGAAATAATCAAAAATGATTTGGGTTTTATGGTATAAAAGTCTTAAAAATAGGATTTCTGAATAAAGCTCTCTACATAAAATGCCTAAAATATCATTTTAATTAAGTGTAATGACTAAAATATTTATTTATTTTTATCAATTTTTAATCAACGAAAATAGACAAATATTTTATATTAAAAACAAAAAAAAATTAAGATTTAAATTAATAAAATTCAAAAGGGTAAATTACAAATACAATCTTCGAGGTTTGCTTAAAATGCAGATTGCCCCCTTGCAATTTGAAAAATTATAAATATCCCCTTATCAAAAAATTTATTTAACAGAATTAACTAAAAAAATAAAATTCATAATTGCTCTCCTATACAATAATAAAATTACTTACATTATTAATTGAAACATATTTCTAATATCAATAAAAATTATTAATCCACTTGATGATTTATTAATAAAAGGGGCGATTTGTTAGAAATCTCAGGGGGTGAAATGTAATTTCCAAAACCATAAGGGGCAATTCATATTTTAATCAAACCTCAGGAGGTGTATTTGTAATTTACCCATTAATAAAATATGTTTATATGAAATAATATAAATAGTTAGATTGTTGTATGTGAATTATGAACATAAAAAATATATATATTGAAACTTACAATTTAAGTTTTACAATTTTGTCACAATTTATGTATCGATTTTTAATTTGTCACAACTTCAATAATGTAACTTTCAACCCCCTTGCTAAAGTTGTAAATTTGGGCGAGTTGAACCCAAACAACTTGAGTCAAACCTGTAAATTTTTTAAGATTGTACTACATAATTTTTAATTCGTTGAAAACCTATGTAAAATTCAAAAATTCGAATAAACTGGAATGAACTTGGATAGAGATACCAAATAAAATTATTTTTTGAATAATAAATATGATTAATTAAAAATTTAATATTAATGAACAAAAGCAAATACATCTTTTAGAAATGAATCATCGAATAAGTTGATATTAAAAAATATATATATTATAATCGCATAAAATATTTAAATATAATAAAATTAAATTTCTACAAAATAAAAGTACCTATGTAAAAAATAAATCAAAAAAAAGTAAGAAGAAAATTTAGAATGATGTTGTCATTTGATCTGAAAAATAATTATAGATGTCTAATAAATTATCACATATAACCCTTATTTTTTTTAGATAAAAAAGATATTTCACAAACCATCACTTTTATTAGAAAAATAACATTTATTTCTATTTTGCAAAACTCACTTTTTAGCAATTTGAGTCAAAAAAAATTTATTTTTTTATTTTAGTTTGTTTAATTGACAACTAAGATTAAAAAAAAAAATTAAAAGATCCACCATGTTTTGCAAGCGCTAAAAAAAGTCTAGATGAACAATAAGAAAAATATTTGAAACCCACAAAAAAAACACCCACAATTGTATCCACAATAATGTGTCAACTTTTGATTTGTTATACACTCAATGACATAAGACTCAACTCCCTTTGTCACATCATTGTGGATGAAAGTATGAGTTTATAACATTGCTGGAACAACAACTTATCACATGTAATTCTCATTTTCTTTTTTGATTATATTAAAAAAAAAAAGTTTCACCAACTATCACTTTTAATAGGAAAAAAATATTTATTTCTATTTGATTTTAACAAAAGTCACTTCTTAACTATTTAAGCCAAAAAAATTATATTCATAATTAAATAGTTGGTCATAGTGTAGATGTTTAGTGTTACATTTTTGTGTTTTTTGTGTGTGTGCACTATTTTTTAATTAGATTATTAAATTTACATAAAATGAAAAGGAATTTATTAATAATTTGTGTAAAATTAGAGATTGGATAAAAAAAGATTTTTAAAAAAAGCGAAATTTACAATGTTTTGTTTGGTTTGATTTTTCAAACTTTTGTTTTGCATTTTTTTATTTTCATGTTTTTTGTCTTTGAAATTGTTTTTTTAGTAACCCTTTTATTTGTTTTTTAGATTCACTTAATTTAATAATACTTTTTTTTTAATTTTATTTTTAGATTTAGATCCACTTAATCTAAATATACATAGAAAATAATTTGTTATGTATTCTTTTTAGGGAAAAAATTATTAATATTAAATAACAATAAGGGCAAACTTCACTTTACCCTATAGTTTGGGCCATGTGCGGATTACTCCCCTAACATTCGAATATCACCACATAACCCCTTTGTGATTGGTGGACTAAAATGCACCATTCACTTTTCCATCAAAGTTAACGGACTGTGTAATTCAAACGCCCATACAGAGAGTAAGTTACATTTTAAGACCAAAATACCCTTAAAACATCTTTAAATTTGCAAAGGCATGCCATGGGTCTTCCTCATTCTCTCTCTAAAATTACAACCCAAAACAAAAACCTAAATTAATTTAAACAACATAGTTTCTATAAAAAATTAATGTATATATATGTATATATATAATCTGTAGCTATATATATGTATATATATAATCTTCTTTGATTTCAATGAAGATCCAGCTGAAGATAAAACTGACATTTCGTTTGAAAACCTATTTTCACAAATTCCAAAACTCCATTCTCTGAATGAACATCATTAAAAACCACAAATTAGAAAATAAAATTTCTCAGCCAAATCCACCAGAAGCAGTATTTCTGGGCTCTCTCTCTAGCTCTCTCTCTCTCTCTACAGTATTTCCACTCTCTCTCTCTCTATATATATCTTCCATGATGGCGGCTGCAACCATGGTGTGTGTGCCTGCGACCGGCATTTGAATTTGAATCAATAGGTAAGGTAGACTAGAGAGAGAGAGTAAGAAGAAAAAAAACTCTTAGATTTGCAATTTTTTTTTTTCTTGAGCTTATTCTTAAATTGGGTCACAAGTGTTCAATGTAAAACCTTTTAAAGACTCGCTCTGATTTATTGTATCAACCTTTCTGGTATGAACTGAATGAATATGTTCGTCATTGATTCTGATGTCCACCATTGATTCTTTTCTCTCTTGCACTTCTCAAATGTACACCTGTTGAATGAGAAATGTTAAACAAAAGTTATATATACAAGGGCAAAATAATCTCTTTACTTCTTATGTTAACGGTGTTAACTGTGTACATTATCCCATTAACCACATGGGGTTATGTGATGATATTCAAACGTCAGAGCGTAATCCGCACCCAACCCAAACCATAGGGCTAAAGTGAAGGTTGCCCTAATATTATGGTTACATCATTATGACACATATGAATATTGATCTTATTTTAATTGTAGTAACATAATTTTAAAAAGAATTTAAATTTAAAATTTTATTTTATAATTTAATAAAAGATGTATAAATTAAAGAATGAATATTGATCTTATTCTGATAACATAATTTAAGGAAGAATCTAAGTTGAAAATTTTATTTTAAGAATATAAAATTAATTTATAAACCAATCATATTGTGACACATATTAACAAAAAATTGCAACTTTAGATTTTAATAAGGGGGGATGCACCAATAAATCCCAAATTAATAACTTATACACTGTTTAGTCCTAAAAGTTTTCTTATAGACTGAAAGGTCCCATTACAATGTTTTAAAAATCAGATTAATGTTTCGAACATCAGATTAATGTTTCGAACATTAGATTTCGAACATCAGATTAATGTTTCAAACATTAGATTGATGTGCAAATGTGACTAAATGGAGCATAAGAAAACTTTTAGGACTAAATGGTTCAACTTTTCAGAAACTAGGACTTATGGGTAAATTTTCCTTTAATAAGATGATAACGTTTTTCAATTATAATAGTATATAGATTTTGTATGAGATTTTGAAACTCTCATAATATATCTTCTTAAAAGCATTCTTTTATAAAATATACAAATAATCTCAACGTTACTATTGTTATTCATAAATATAAAAAAATTATAAGTTAATTATGATAATTTTAAATTCTTATTCAAAACTTATAAATCATGGGATAGATCATTATAATTTTAAATTTATATTGTGCTAATTTTAAATTTAAATTAATAGATTGTTTTCTATATATTTAGTAGCCCTTAAATTTAAATTTTGAAATGGATTAATATATATTTTTTATTTACTTTTTATTTGAAAGTCATAAATTAAGAGATATTAATATTTATTTATTTATTTGTTTGTTTTATTTTACTTGAAAAAGAGTTAGGCAATAGAAGATTTTTAAAAATAAAAAAATTATGAAATTTAAATTGAAAATTTGAAACTCCTATAAAACTTGTGAATTAAAAACTTCAATTTTTTTCTTACATAATATATATAGATAGATTCAAGATTATTTTATTTTTTATTTTTGTAATTTCTTCAAATAAAAAAATAAAAAATTTACAGACTTTACCAATGAAACCTAAACGAGGTGAACTCGGAACTCAGTTTTTACAGTCCATCGTCATCCCTAGACTAGACTGTACTGAACCAGAGCGCCTACCACACCCGAAGAGCGAGAGAGAGAGAGAGAGATGTCGGCGAAGGATGGAGGAGTAGAAGAAGAGCGACAGCAAGAGCAAGAGCAAGTGCAAGAAGAGCAGGTGGTGAATCCGTGGGAGGTATCGGCAAAACAAGGAGGTAAGATCGATTACGACAAGCTCATCGACCAATTCGGCTGTCAAAGGCTCGATAAATCCATAGTCGATCGTGTTCACCGCCTCACTTCTCGCCCACCTCATATCTTCCTCCGCCGAGGCGTTTTCTTCGCTCACCGGTACTCTCTCTCTCTCTCTCTCTCTCTCTCGAATTGTTTTACATTTGTGTGTGTTTTGACAGGGATTTAAATGAGATTCTCGATGCCTATGAGAGAGGAGAGAAGTTCTATCTTTATACAGGCAGAGGAGCCTCTTCGGAAGCTTTGCATGTGGGCCATCTCGTGCCTTTCATGTTCACCAAGTATGCTCTGCTCTCCCCTCCATTTCTATAATTCCTAATTGTCCTCTAGTTCTGTGTATGTGAGAGATTTAACCTCAAGTTGCAACTTCTAGGGCGTGTATTTATGTTACTATTGCTAATAAAATAGAATGAACGAATTTTGTGAATGGATACAACTCTGGCACGGCCATTCTCAATTACAATTACTCCCTAAAGCATCATAGATTGTATAAAATGCTCTGTTTTTATGTCGTTTGTTTGGCTTAGAAATTTGCTTGTTAGTTAGTTTTGTGCTTGCGGGTTATCACTTCAAGGGCTTCGGATTGCTTGCTAGCGTTGAGTTTGGTTGCCTTTGCAAACGTCACGATGTGTTTTGGCAGACTAGTTTGAGTGCTGAACTACTGCCACACTGGACCGTTGCTCATTCTGCAAAGCTGGCATGTGATGGTTGGTATGTTCTCTCTAGGTTGAGTTTGTTTGGGAGGTAAGGGGTGGAAATTGAAGCATAAAGAATCAAAAAATGAAACTTCTTGTGAGTTTGTTTAGCATCAAACTGATGGAAACTACAAGGAAAGTTAAAATTTGTAATCTTTTTTCTTGCAAAATTTTTATCCTAATCAAATGCTTGCAAGAAAATATATTTTTAATTATCACTTCACTTCCTTTCATTTTTACTTCCTTTTTTTTTTCTTTCTATTCAAACAGAGCCCTCGTGATTTTTGACAAATAAATGTTGTACTTGTATTTTATGTATATAGTATATATGGCATGCTTCATTCTATGTATTAAAGTGCTGCACTGCACTTTTCCAGAATACTTATTACCTTTAAAGTGCTAGTTACTATTGTGCATAATTTAATTTCTGAGTCTCTGTATGTTTGTCTGCTGTCTCTCTTGATCAAGTAGCGTTTTCGAGTGGCAATCTTTCAGGTATATCAGCTAGTGCTTAGGTCAAGCTTTTTCTTGCAGGAAATTTTCTACGGTAATGCCCATTAGTTTTATCTTTAGTGTGATCAATTTGAGTGGTTTTGGAACCTGTTGGAAAATAGCCTTTGTACTCTGTATTGACCTATGAAGCATGGACACGCCAGATTCCATGCCATGGGGGTGTCTGACACGAGGACACGTCGGGGATACGGGGACACGCCGGGGACACGTACGGGACACGCCGGGTGGCGTGCCCCTTTAATTTAATTATTTTTTTACAGGGGACACGGCGGCGACACGGCGGGGACACGCGTGTCCACCAAATCTGGACACGCGTGTCCAAATCTAGACACAGAGCAAAAGAGAAGGAGAAGATCAAGGTCAAGAGACAATCGGTTCAGGCTTATCCAGTCGAAGACCTACCTCCATCAGTCGATTTAAACCAATTGATCCACCACCTCCATCCAGTCGATTGAAGACCCTTGACCCCCATCAAGTCGATCGAAGGTAAGCCCCTCTCTCTTAGTCGATCAGTCGATCTCCATCAGTCGATCAGTCGTCTTCCATCCAGACGACTTCGAAGGTAAGCTCTCTCGCTCTCGCTCTCGCTCTCGCTCTCGCTCTCTCTTTCTCTTCGATCGTCTCTGTTCGATCGTCTCTGTCCTCTCTCTCTCTCTCTCTCTCTGTCTTCGATCGTCTCTGTTCTCCCTCTCCCTCTTTCTCTGTGTTTTTGCATATAATTAACTTTATATAAGATAATTGATCATATAATATATATATATATATATAATATAATTTATCATATATAATATATATAATAAAACATATAAATTATAATTTTTATCTTGTAAAATAAAATATTTAATTATTATTTCTTAAAATATCATATATAATAATAATTTTTATAAATTATTATTTCTTAACTTTTTAACATATAATAAATAAAATAAATCATCCAATTATTTAAAAGAAATCTAATTAAACCATATATAATAAAATAAAATATAAAATAAAATATCTAATTTTTCTTTTTATTTATTTTAACATATTTTATTATTCTTTATTTGTTACATATTTTTATTTATATATAATATATATATATCATTTAAAAATAAAAATAATAAATTAACAATAACACATTATTTAAAAAATATAATAAATAAATAAAATAATTAATGTACATTAAAATAAAAATATTTATAAAAAAATTAAAAAATTTGCCGTGTCCCCTGCCGTGTCCGTATCCATATCCGTGTCCGTGTCCCTATTTTTTAGAAATTACCGTGTCCGTATGCGTGTCCGTGTCTCATAGGTAAGAGGGAGATTTATGAGCTGAATTGGTCCGTGGTAATGGCCGGGCAAATTGTGGGCCGTGGTAATGGCCGGGCAAGTTGTGGGCCGTGGTAGCTTGGGCCTGTCCGGAAGGGTTTTGCTTGGTTAAGGCACAGGGCATGTGGGACCGAGTTGCTTGGCTTGTTGCTGCGAAAGCCGGTCTACTGGGAGTTCGGCCGAGATTCTGCATGTCTCCATGGGTTCCACGGTTCATACGTTAGCTTGGCAGGAAAACCGGCGGCTAACCGGCTTGACCTACCTCGAGCTCGGCTTGCCAGAATGCAGCCAAGTTCGGTTGTACAGGAGTTCGGCGAATGGTTCATTAAGGTATGCCGCGTAGCGCGGTTAGGAGAAACCGAGGAGGTTCCGCCGGTCTGCCGAGCTCCGCCAAGGTATCCTAACAGTTTGGTTAGGTGGTGATTGCTGGATTTGTGCTGACAGATGGGATAGCAGCACCACGTGTCGAGAGACTAATGGGAGTAGATTTGGGGCGTAGAAGGTATATAAGCGAGTCTGCGCCCCCTATGCCTGGACAGATGACATTTTTGGTGAGACATACACTAAACAAATATTGAGTCCTCTCTCTCTCTATCCCTATGTGTGTTTAACTTGATCGTCGGAGGGGTTTTCTGGCCACACACCGCCGGGTAGTTCACCGCCGTTGTGCTCGCAGGTCGATCGGACAGACAGGAGCTTGGAAGAAAGGAGTGCGGGCTTGCCTGAATATTTGCTCCTTACACAATTGGCGTCGTCTGTGGGAACTTTGAAAGACAAAACCTTGTCTTCCAGGCTCATCTGATCGCCGTCCATGGCGAACAACGACGAGATTCCGTTGTCTGCCATCGACAGAGTTACCCCGGAGTCAGGCAGACGGAGAGAAGGACATCCCGCCATTCCTCTTATGGCGGACCTGGAAACTTCTCCAAGAGGACACTCAAGAGACGCGCGGGATAAGCGCGGAAGAAACTTTAGACATTCACGGAGTCCAGACGGTCACCGGCGGCGGAGAGAATCGCACGCCAGGCGACTGGAACACAAGCTAAGGGACCAAGACGCCGTCATCCGGAGAATGATGGCGGAGATGGAGGATCTTAAGCAACATGTCAAAGGGAAGGGTGTAACTGGAGTGGGAGACCACAGTGAGCGCACCCAACCCTGCCGTTCATGCAGTCAGAGCCAGCGGCGTACTCCGTCCAACTCAATCACCAGAAGTTATAAGGTTGGAGATTCCGACGTGCACATAGAGAAGTCCAGCGCGCAAGACAGCACCTATCAACCCTCACGTCCGGCGACAACGTCGAGGTATTCTTATTCCGCTCGTTCAGAGGATTTGCGGGTAGTCTTGAAGGAACGGGCTCGCCGGCGGGAGGCTCAGAGGGTGCCGGCTTTCCAGTGGCTATCCTATGGGGTTCACGCCAGTGAAGAGGTCGGAATGCCTCCACCTCGCCTAGCTGCGCCCCTCATTCTAGACACAGACTTGGCAAGGCTGAGCGCCACCCCTTTCTCCGTGGAGATAGAAACAACACCGCTTCCCGCGGCCTTCCAACAGCCTAAGTTCACGCTCTACGACGGAAAAATCGATCCCTATATGCATGTAAGCCACTCCCGACAGGTCATGGCTGGACATAGGCGGAATGACGCTCTTATGTGCCTTATCTTCCCGTCAAGTTTGGGCGAGCTGGGCTTGAAATGGTTTGAGAGGCTGCCAGAGGAGAGCATAGAAAGGTGGCAGCAGGTGGCTGAAGCCTTTGTGATGCACTTCAAAACCAACACTAAAACGCCAAAGCAAGTTGACCACCTTCTCAATGTCAAGATGGAGCCGAGCGACACACTGAAGGCATACAACTCCAGATATTGGGAAACCTTCAACGAGATCTTGGATTGTTCGGTCAACCTGGCAATCACCCAATACAAGCGCGGTCTCTCGGTCGGACATAGGCTGAGGGACTCGCTTACAATGAACCAGCCGCCATCCATGGGGCAACTAATGCAGCGTATCAATGAGCACATCCGAGTAGAGGATGATGCAGCGGCGTCCACCGCGAAGGCAACCCCGGTGGCAACAGACAAAAAGGCCTTACAAGATAACCGGTCTGGCGGGTAAGGGGGCATACTACTTAGAAGATTTGGATAGCAAAGGCGTACCCTGGTCATGGAATGCGGCTAACCACAAACTATTATATTCTTATCGTTCTTAAGTAATTTTTTGAGGAAGAACTTGTTTCCCCTACACTTCTGAATGTGATACTCTTTTTGTCAATGTAATAGAAGTGAATTACTTTTGCTGAAGAACTTTTTCTGATTCAGCCGAGATGATTTACTCCGGCCAAATGAGTTGATGATTAGCTCAACTCCGAAGATTCAGCCGAGATGATGTACTCCGGCCAAATGAGTTGATTTGCTCAACTCAGAAGTTTCAGCCGAGATGATTTATTCTGGCCAAATGAGTTGATGATTTGTTCAACTCTGAAATTTCAGCCGAGATGATTTACTCTGGCCAAATGAATTGATGATTTGCTCAACTCTGAAGTTTCAGCCGAGATGATTTACTTCGGCCAAATGAGTTGATGATTTGCTCAGCTCTGAAGTTTCAGCCGAGATGATGTACTCCGGCCAAATGAGTTAATGATTTGCTCAGCTTTGAAGTTTCAGCCGAGATGGTTTACTCCGGCAAAAGGAGTTGATGTTTTGCTCAACTCAAGGCTCAAGCCGAGATGCTTTATCCAGGCGGAAAGCTCAGAGGATGGCGGTGTGATCAACCGTGGAAGAGATCGAGGGAGTTTGGTTTTGGAAGACGTCAGTCAGAAGGCTGAGGAAAAGGGGCAATTGACAATCATTTTGGTGGAAAGACCAGAGTTCCTTGCCGATCTGATGTTGCTCGCCAAGAAAGAAGTCGCGGAGCGGACCTTGCTCACCTTCTTTATAGTTCCTTGCCGAGCTGATGTTGCTCGCCAAGAAGGAAGTCGCGGAGCGGACCTTGCTCACCGACCTTGGAGTTCCTTGCCGAGCTGATGTTGCTCTCCAAGAAGGAAGTCGCAGAGCGGACCTTGCTCGCCGACCTTAGAGTTCCTTGCCGAGCTGATGTTGCTCGCCAAGAAAGAAGTCGCGGAGCGGACCTTGCTCGCCGACCTTGGAATTCCTTGCCGAGCTGATGTTGCTCGCCAAGAAGGAAGTCGCGGAGCGGACCTTGCTCGCCGACCTTGTTGTTCCTTGCCGAGCTGACCTTGCTCGCTAAGAAGGAAGTCGCGGAGCGGAACTTGCTCGTCGACCTTGGAATTCCTTGCCGAGCTGATGTTGCTCGCCAAGAAGGAAGTCGCGGAGCGGACCTTGCTCGCCGACCTTGGAGTTCTTTGCTGAGCTGATGTTGCTCGCCAAGAAGGAAGTCGCGGAGCGGACCTTGCTTACCTTCTTTGTAGTTCCTTACCGAGCTGATGTTGCTCGCCAAGAAGGAAGTCGCGGAGCGAACCTTCCTCGCCGACTTTGGAGTTCCTTGCCGAGCTGATGTTGCTCGCCAAGAAGGAAGTCGCGGATCGGACCTTGCTCGCCGACCTTGGAATTCTTTGCCGAGCTGATGTTGCTCGCCAAGAAGGAAGTCACGGAGCAGACCTTGCTCGCTGACCTTGTTGTTCCTTGCCGAGCTTATGTTGCTCGCCAAGAAGGAAGTCGCAGAGCAGACCTTGCTCGCCGACCTTGGAATTCCTTGCCGAGCTGATGTTGCTTGCCAAGAAGGAAGTCGCGGAGCGGACCTTGCTCGCCGACCTTGTTGTTCCTTGCCGAGCTGACCTTGCTCGCCAAGAAGGAAGTCGCGGAGCAGACCTTGCTCGCCTTCTTCGGAGTTCCTTGTCGAGCTTATGTTGCTCGCCAAGAAGGAAGTCGCGGAGCGGACCTTGCTCGCCTTTTTTGTAGTTCCTTGCCGAGATGATCTTGCTCGCGAAGAAAGAAGTCGCGGAGCGGACCTTGCTCGCCTTCTTTGGAGTTCCTTACCGAGCTGATGTTGCTTGCCAAGAAGGAAGTCGCGGAGCGGACCTTGCTCGCCGACCTTGTTGTTCCTTGTCGAGCTGACTTTGCCCCCCAAGAAGGAAGTCGCGGAGCGGACCTTGCTCACCTTCTTTGGAGTTCCTCGCCGAGCTGATTTTGCCCGCCAGTAAGGTAAGTTAAGGCTTCAGCCAAGCAAGCCAAGAAACCGAGCAAGAGGAATGCAAACTAAGGACCGAGGAAGAGTCTACCCCAGTCAGATCATGTAATCTCAGTCACGCTTGCGCGGACGGAATTAAGGGGCAATTGAGAGGGAGATTTATGAGCTGAATTGGTCCGTGGTAATGGTCGGGCAAATTGTGGGCCGTGGTAATGGCCGTGCAAGTTGTGGGCCGTGGTAGCTTGGGCCTGTCTGGAAGGGTTTTGCTTGGTTAAGGCACAGGGCATGTGGGACCGAGCTGCTTGGCTTGTTGCTGCGAAAGCCGGTCTACTGGGAGTTCGGCCGAGATGTCTGCATGTCTCCATGGGTTCCACGGTTCATGCGTTAGCTCGGCAGGAAGACCGACGGCTAACCGGCTCGACCTACCTCGAGCTCGGCTTGCCAGAATGCAGCCGAGTTCGGTTGTACAGGAGCTCGGCGAATGGTTCATTAAGGTATGCCGCGCAGCGCGGTCAGGAGAAATCGAGGAGGTTCCGCCGGTCTGCCGAGCTCCGCCGAGGTATCCTAATAGTTTGGTTAGGTGGTGATTGCTGGATTTGTGCTGACAGATGAGATAGCAGCACCATGTGTCGAAAGACTAATGGAAGTAGATTTGGGGCGCAGAAGGTATATAAGCGAGTCTGCGCCCCCTATGCCTGGACAGATGACATTTTTGGTGAGACATACACTAAACAAATATTGAGTCCTCTCTCTCTCTCTATCCCTGCGTGTGTCTAACTTGATCGTCGGAGGGGTTTTCCGGCCACACACCGCCGGGTAGCTTACCGCCGTTGTGCTCGCAGGTCGATCGGACAGACAGGAGCTTGGAAGAAAGGAGTGCGGGCTTGCTTCAATATTTGCTCCCCGCACAATAGGTATTGACTGCCTCTAGTGGTCAGATTATGTTAGGAATTTGTATGCATTAGACATTAATTTATGATTAGTGTGGGTGGGTTTGTTGTTTTCTTCTTTTTTGAATCAATTCATTTTCATCTGGTTCATCTTACAAATAGCGTAACATTGCTGCAGATATTTGCAAGATGCTTTTAAGGTTCCTCTTGTTATACAGTTGACGGATGATGAGAAATGCATGTGGAAAAATTTATCAGTGGAGGAGAGCAAGAGACTTGCCCGTGAGAACGCCAAAGATATCATAGCTTGTGGTTTTGACATTTCAAAAACCTTCATCTTCTCAGATTTCAATTATGTTGGTGGGTAAGTATTACACATTTGTTTCTTGATGATGCATGTTTAGTTAATTTTCAGTCTTTTAATATTAATTTTTATTTGTTACTTAGCCTAGAAATTTGTTTAAGAAAATCTTCTTTATTTATCACTCATTTTGAAAAATGAAGATATTTTTTCCATTAAATTCAGACCAATTTTGAATTTTGTTTGTGAGATACAGTTTTACATGTTTTATATTTTTTAGATCGTTAAACATTTTTTGTGTTCTTTTGTCTCTCTTTTTTTTTTTTTTTTTTTCTTTTTTAAGGGCTTGGGGGTGGGGTTGCTGTCATATTGTAATTATAATCCAATTCTAATGCTTGCTGGCATTAGTATTGAAAGTGGAGCCCCACATTTTAATTCCAATTCTGTGAACCAATCAGGCCCTAAGTGTATTTCTGCTTTAAATTTGATTTATTTTTTCTTTTTACAAAATGTGACTATCAAGTTAGTTTACCAACTTATGTGGGGTTCAGTCTTGCATGTTCTGAATTGCACTAGGCTTATTGCATTTCCCCTACTGCTCTCACACAGAAATTTTGTTTGCAGTACCTTTTATGAGAACATGGTGAGGATCAACAAATGTGTTACATATAATAAGGTGATATTTTGTAGCAAATTTTGTTTCTTGAAATTAGGACATGTCTTCATTGTTGCTGTTAGTGATCTTTTATTCATATCTGTTCTCAAACCCCTGACAGAGTTGTGCTGGTATTGTCTGCAGGTTGTAGGTATTTTTGGTTTCACTGGTGAAGATCATATTGGAAAGATAAGTTTCCCTGCTGTACAGGTATTAACCTTTGTACAAACACATTTTTTTTTTAATAAACACATGTTTGTACGCAGTCAAGGTTTATACAAACACATGCTCTTTTTTTTTTTTTTTTGTTTTGATAATACAAATTTTTACTAGCTAGATAAACCTTTGTTGCTAGCTAAGAAGAACCAACAAAGCCCCTAGTGGGACATACATATGTCCGGCACATATTGGACACAAACATGTGTTTGACCGTGTCCCCAATTATATATATATATATGGAGAGAGAGAGAGAGAGAGAGAGAGGCCTGGTCTCTAGTCGCTGACAAGTCTTCTGGCACCAAATTTCCTCTACTCCCTCTGTCAGCCTGCTATCAACAAAGGCAGCTTACCAACTGTTGCTTTGTTGCACTCCTTCCTCAAATACAATTATCTTTAGGAATGCTCTTTGTGCTTGTTGTTTTGGTGGGCTGTTGTCTCATTTGGACATGATCAACCAGATGTGAGTGAATCCCGTTTGTATATATATGAAGGAAAAATTGAACAAACCAAAAGAAGAATGTAAAAGACGTGTCCCTGCTGTGTCTTGTCCAAATTCTTTTGAAAATTGCCATGTTAGTGTGTCAGTGATGTGTCATATCCGTGCTTCATAGGTTGGCAGCTTCAGTGTGAGATGTTCTTAATATTACAAAGGTTATGGTTTTGTCTTCCTATTGGATGATTTAATTGACCAATCCATATGGTCATGGCAAAGATTTTTTTTGGGTAAAAGTTCGGCGAAGATTCTTCTTGCTCTTCATTAGTATCTTATGATTATATCCCACCTTATGTTCTCTTTCCCCATTCTTAACATGAAGCAATGAAAAGGTAGTTTGAATTTTCTCTTGTTTTTTTGAATTAATGACGCCTATTCTTTTATGCACCTTTTTCTTTTGGAGTATCACTTTTTCTCTGCCTGGTATCTTTTGTCTCTTTGTAAAGTTATTGTGGGAGCAAAAATGAACATTGTTATAGTACTGCTAATCGTTATCATCATTGTCGTTTCTTCTGTGTGTAACATTTGAATTTGACCGTGATAGAGTAGAAAGTGGTGGAAATGGTGCACACAACACATGTTCTTGGTTTATTTCTCTTTCTTTCTTCCTTTTTTTTTGTTTTAAATTTAATTATGTTTTCCCAGTATTATGGATGGCTGTTTCAACATGTTAAACTTGCATTAACCGCAGGCTGCTCCATCCTTTCCCAGTTCATTTCCGCACCTCTTTTCTGGCAAACATAATCTCCGCTGCTTGATTCCATGTGCAATTGATCAGGTTGGTTCTTCTAGTTTTTATCATATTATTGGTTATTGCATGATACATCTAGTTTTTATATATGAGCATTATGACTTATAAGTTGATCAACTTAAGAGGCGGGATTATGTTTCTAAGATTGGTTTGACAATTGTATCCGAATTGAATTTGATAGCTAATAAATAATGAAGCGTGCAATTTTGGTATGGTAGTCACATATACGATTCAAATGTATTGTAGATGTTCAGAACTGTAAGTATTGAGATTTAAGTTAGTTCCTTTCTTTCTTTTTTCTTCTTATTTATTTATTTTTGTACAGTTGCACCTGTAGTGTCCACATTGGCTTTGCTTCAAATTCATAATTATGATCATCTTTTCTTTCCACCTGCATCACAATTATTGATTCATCATATAACATGGGGAAGATTGCCTTCCAAGGGTATTTGGGTATTGTGCTCATATCATTTAAATATATTGTCATTGTTATTCTTTCTTTACCTTAATTCATTATTAGTATGGCCAATGTTTTAGTGATGTTAATAAGGAACTATATCTATTTCAATAATTGTTTTTTTTCTGGCTCTTGAGGGTGCTCTTTTTGAAGCAATTTAGGCCATAATATTGGACTTTTTCCTTTTTGCATCTTTTGCTTCCTGATTATATGTTTATGAAATTTATTGGGATTATGTGGCACTTATTTTTCTGCAATTACTAAATTCGTCTTCCAAAATTCGTAGTCTTTGTCATGACTGTTATGGATTTTTCATCGTCACAATCTTTATAGACTTCGAATTTGTACTCGTTGTAACCATAGTAGACTTCTCCATTGGTATGGGTATCAATGTTTTGTTTTTTTATTTTTACTTCTTATTTTATTTTATAAGTTGACACAATATTTGGAGGGACTATGGGTGGAGATTCATTACTTGGCTTCATTTTGGGTTTCAATATCTCTTTCTTTTAAGATTCCTTTTTTTCTCTCTACAAATTGGAGGGGCGATTGTAGTTTGTGATATCTTTTGTAGTTTGCTTTGTTTTTGGGGACCGCTTGTCCCCGTTGTTTCTTTCTTGTCGTTGTATACTTTGTTTTCATCTTTTTTATTTTCTTTGTTGCTGATAAAAAAATGAAAAAGAAAAAAGAGTTATGTCCCGTGTTGAAGGTTTCTGCTTCTGTAGTTGCTTCACACTGTTATTCAATATACTAATATTTTTTAAAAAAGTTCAGTTGATTTTATTCCTTGATATTAATCCTAGCTCTTAACTTTTTCCTTATTATGGATATTGCAGGGAGAGACGGGGAAAATGTCTGCTAGTGATCCAAATTCTGCTATATATGTGACTGATTCTTCAAAGGACATTAAAAACAAGGTCTGTCTTGAAATCTTTTATGAGTGACTAATGGATTGACAACCATTGAAATGGAAATTAATTTTACCAACTTTTATTTTTTGTGAGATAGTTTATCCTAGAGTTTGTCTGAGGGTTGTAGCTTTGAATTGAGTCAACTAGACAAAACAATTCATGTTGCCTTAACCCCGAGTGATTGGGAGTATGGATTATTAGGCATATCCATGAGTTCATCCTATACTGAAAATAAAGGTGCATACAACATGGTGGTTTTCTGTTTCTTGTTCTTTTTTCTTTTTTTGACATTGATAAAAAATGTGCCCATATTTTGAACTAGGTATGATAATTATAACTTAACAGTGTATTTTTATTTTTTATTTTATATTTTTTTTTGGTACAGATAAACAAATACGCATTCTCTGGTGGGCAAGATTCTATAGAGAATCAAAGAAAGTACGGAGCGAATCTTGAGGTACTAAAATTATTGTTGTTTGAATTTAACCAAGGGATTGTAGCTTGTGTGGCTAGCCCTTTTGCCACCAAGTCTTTCCTAAGAGGAGGTCTTGGGTTCCACTCTTAAGAGTGGAATAGGGGCCAAGACTTATAAGTGCTTGCAAGGAGAGGGTGGGAGTTCAACTCCCCCAAGGTGCTAATCTAACAGCTAACTACCAACTTTCGCCGATCAAAAAAGGAAAAAAAAAAAAATTGTTGTTTGAATTTGCAAATGTATATGATGAAGAATGATGTCCCCTTGAAATGGCACGGTATCTAGACATCTCATATTGGGATGTTCTTCTATGTTCTGGATGTGAGATATTTCTTGCTCATAGTTGTTAAAATGTTGCTAGGCCCATAACAAACTCAAAGCCTATGCTTCTGCTTATCTTTGCATTTTGATATTCAAGGAGCCAGAATTCATTTATTTATAGCATATACATCATATTATAAGGGGAGGTCTTTGCCAATTCACAGCTTGACGCCATTTAGGAAGCAGTTTTTTAATGGAAGCATACTCATCTTTCTCTCCTTTTGTAAGTTTTTTCTTTGACACATGCAGGTAGACATACCTATTAAATACCTTGGTTTTTTCCTAGAGGATGATGCTGAACTTGACTACATAAGAAAGGTCAATGGACTAAATTTTGTCATTGGTGAAAATATGTACTGTTTTGAATGTACTTCTTAGTGTTCCAAATCATTTTACGAAATACAAACTATGGCTGTTGCTATTTTGTCTTTCTAAAGAATGTCATTTTATGTTGTTTCAGGAATATGGTGCAGGACGTATGCTAACAGGTGAAGTGAAAATGCGACTTATTGAACTTTTAACGGAATTGGTGGAAAGACATCGTAGGGCTCGGGCTGCAGTCACTGATGAGGTAATTACTTTCATCCTTGATGGATTGTTGCTTTTAAGGGTGAACATTGCTAATGTAATAAATAGATAAGCTTCTAATTGCAAATTCTGTAAATGCATCTGGATTGTTAGAATTTTAAATTGTTAATTGCATTGTTCAACATATTTTTAATAATCTGATTATGCTATCAATTTGGCTTAGAAGCTATTGAGTAAAATACCCAGGGAAAATAAATATGTATTTAAGTTGGGGCCATATAACAATTTGATGTCAAACCATTTTAATTTTTATCACTTCATGCTTCTTTTTTTTTTTATGTATTGGAAGATACTGCATGACATAATTATCCCAATTTGTCCCTTCAATGTTGTTCAATTCCATTTCCCTTATACGTTGTGGTGATCCTTGAGGTTTGGTTCCATTGATTCGGGCTCCTCTACCTCATAGGTTGAAATGGGATAGTCTACACAATTTTCTTTTAAAATGAGTGTCTTTTTCAACTGAAAATGGATGTTGACATTGAGCAGATCAACCGTGTGAATGGGTAGCAAGTTTAAGAAAATTTACTACAATTATGGTTTCTTTCTCTTCAATGAAAGAATATCTTCAATTAGAAAGTATTTAGAGAGGGAAATAGAAGTATTGAGAGAGCATAGATTGAAGTTTCACTAGAAACAAACTCATCTAGATGGAGATGGAGAGGAGTGAAAAAACAAAGCTTTGGATCCTATGCAGAAAACACAAACTTGGAAAACAAAAAATGAGCTGCCTATAGAAACCAGCACTTCTGAATCCTTCTTGATAATCTCTCCCTTGAGAGAGAAAGAGAGAGGATATGGCTTTTTTATATTCTGTCCTTTGAAGATATGGCTTGCAAGCATCATATTGCATTTTAGTCAATTGAGGATGAAGATACGGCTGCTTCTTATTATTAGTTTTTATAATTTTATGACCCCATATGGTCCTCTTTGGATAAGATGAGTGTTGCTGAGATAAGGATGTTAAGGCGGATGTGTGGCAAGATTAGAAAAGAAAGAGTTAGGAATGAGTATATTCAAGAATGGATAAGAGTAGTACTAATAGAAGATAAGTTGAGAGATAATAGATTGAGATGGTTTGGTCATATACAATGGAGACCAACAGAGGCAGTAGTGAAGAGATATGATACAGTGACGGTAGGTGAAAATGTTAGAAGAAGGGGTAGACCTAGATTGACGTTAGCTAGTGTAGTAAATAGAGATATGAAACTCCTTAATTTGACTAACGATATGATCTTGGATAGAGTCGAATGGAGAAGAAGAATTCATGTAGCCAATCCTATTTGATGAGACTTAAGGCTAGGCTTGGTTTGGTTTATAATTTTATGACCCCATATGGTCCTCTTTGGATGGAAATGAATGGTGGGACCTAAAAGGGGATAAACTAGAAATATTTAAGAATCGAATAGATAAGGAAGGTACTTGGGACTTAGAAGGTGATGCTAACATTATTTGGAATTCGATGGCCAATTTTATGAGGAGAATCTCAAGGGAAGTGCTTGGAGAGTCGAAAGTAACGGGACCCAGCTCTAAGGAAACTTGGTGGTGGAGGGAAGAGATTCAAGCGGTAGTTAAGGCAAAAAAAGAGTGCTTTAAAAAGTGGCAGAAGGATAGAACTGAGGAAAACCTTAAGAGCTATAGATTGGCTAATAAGGAGGTCAAGAAAGTAGTGAGAGAGACTAAGTTGAAAGCTTATGATGACCTATACACTAGACTAGATAGTAAGGAGGGAGAGAAGAGGGTACACAAACTTGCTAAGATACAGGAGAGGAAAATAAGAGATTTTAATCAAGTAAAGTACATCAGGAGTGAGGATTCTAAGGTATTGGTGAATGATGATGAGATTAAGGAAAGATGGAAGAACTATTTTGAGAAACTGTTAAATGAGGAACATGGAAGTACGACAATAGGGGAAGAAATAGCCAGTAATATGATAAACCAAGACTATAGGTTCTATCGCAGGATTATGAATTTTGAAGTGGAGATTGCACTTAAGAAGATGAAATCAAATAAGGCTTTAGGACCCGATGAGATCCCTATTGAAGCTTGGAAGTGTTTGGGTAAAAAGGGAGTTGCTTGGTTGACTAGGTTGTTTAGCAAAATTTTGTTGACTAGGAACATGCCAGATGAGTGGAAGAAGAGTATTTTAGTGTCAATTTATAAGAATAAAGGTGATGTCCAGAATTGTAACAACTATAGAGGAATCAAGATAATGTGTCATATAATGAAAGTGTGGGAGAGAGTGATGGAACGCCGATTGCGAGACATAACAGAGGTGTCAGTGAATCAATTTGGGTTTATGCCTGGTAGGTCAACAATGGAAGCGATCTATCTTTTGAGGAGAGTAATAGAAAAATATAAAGAAAAGAAAAGAGACATTCATATGGTGTTTATCGACCTTGAGAAAGCATATGACAGAGTGCCCTGAGATATAATATGGTGGGTGTTAGAGAAGAAAGGGGTGACAAAAGGCTATATTGACGTGATTAGGGACATGTATGAAGGGGTGGTGACCACTATTAGATCGCCAGCTGGAGAGACAAATGAATTTCCTATCACTGTAGGGTTACACCAAGGATCTACCTTAAGTCCTTATCTTTTTGCTTTAGTTATGAACGAGTTGACGATAAATATTCAGGATGACGTGCCATGGTGTATGCCTTTTGCAGACGATATTGTGTTAGTGGATGAGATTAGAGAAGGAGTTAACACAAAGTTGGAGATTTGGAGAAAAGCTCTTGAATCTAAAGGATTCCGGATAAGCAGAACTAAGACAGAGTACATGGAGTGTAAATTTAGTAACAGTAACAATGAAAGCAGAGGAGAAGTGAAGATTGAGAACCAAGAACTGCCTAAGAGTGAATATTTTCGTTATTTAGGGTCGATTATCACAACAGCGGGAGAGATTGATGCAGATGTGGCCCATAGGATTAAGGCGGGATGGTGTAAATGGAGAAGTGCGTCTGGGGTATTGTACGATAAACGAATACCCACTAGACTAAAAGGTAAGTTTTATAGAACGGCTATTAGACCAGCTATGTTATATGGGACGAAGTGTTGGGCAACCAAGAAACAGCATGTAGATAAGATGAGTGGTATAAATGGAGAAGTGCGTCTGGGGTATTGTGCGATAAACGAATACCCACTAGACTAAAAGGTAAGTTTTATAGAACGGCTATTAGACCAACTATGTTATATGGGACGGAGTGTTGGGCAACCAAGAAACAACATGTAGATAAGATGTGTGTGGCTGAGATGAGGATGCTAAGGTGGATGTGTGATAAGACTAGACAAGACAGGATTAGGAATGAGTGTATTCGGGAATGGGTAGGAGTAACACCGATAGAAGATAAGTTGAGAGAGAATCGTTTGAGATGGTTTGGTCATATTCAACGGAGACCAACAGAGGCAGTAGTGAAGAGATGCGATGTTGTAACGGTAGATGGAAGTGTTAGGAGACGGGGTAGGCCTAGATTAACGTTGACTAGCGTTATAAATAGAGATATGAATCTACTTAATTTGACTAATGAAATGGCCTTTGATAGGGCCGCGTGGAGAAGAAGAATTCATATAACCGATCCCATTTGATGGGACTTAAGGCTTGGCTTGGTTTGGTTTGGTTTGACATATTCGTTATGGAGCTTTGCAATATGTAAATTGGTCCATGGGTTTTCGAAATTGAGTAATTTTCGTGGTTCTTTTGACGTTGGAACATCGTTTAGTTTTATATTATGTGGGCTTGTGTTTGATTGGGGTAGAGTTGAGAGAGCATTTAATCACCATGGTTATGCATTCTCTGGGGCTACACACTGGGGTTTATACATGGAAATGCATTCAGCAAGGACTTAAAACTAATTTTAATATTGTTTTGCTAGATGAGGACTAATAATTATAATGGATTATTTGTAATATTCTGTGTTTTTTTTCTGTTTCAGATGGTGGATGCGTTCATGGCAGTCAGGCCCCTTCCTAACATGTTCGCCTAAACTGGGAAAAAAAAAGGAAGAAAAAGGAATATGTTTGAATTGTTCTGGAAGATGAACTCATAAGGACCTTTTTCCATTATAATTTAAATGCAATATTTTTTTTAAAAAAAAATTTATTCTTATTTTCAGTGGCACTTTTGGGTCAAAAGGAATATATATATATGCAATATTTTTTAAAAAAAGTTGAGTCATTAACAACTTTAAGCAGGCCTTTTGTGATATCTTGGTTTACAAAACAAGCTATATGGGACAATGCATGTCATCCGCATTTTGTTATGAACTGACTCAAGTTTTGTAATTTTTGGCTGGTATTTTTGACTCTCTAAATATATATATATATATATATGGTCAAATCTCAGTATGTTCTTTGTTTTGTATGACACTCTTGCGCTATAGATATAAATTGTTCTAATGATAATTAAGACTTTTATTTTGGGCATCTTTATAAATATATTAGTTAATAACTAAACTGTAGTAACTTTTGAGTCGCTCTTGCATGGTAAATTTTGAATATCTATAACCATTTGCAAGTCACAAATGTTGAGGTAGGTCGTAAACTTTAAATATTTCTTCTAAATATTTGTAAGTATTTGAAATTTATGGTTGGTGGTTGGTCTTGGGACACATTTGTAAATGTTTCTTTTAAAAATTATAGGCAACAAATTGGTAAATTTATCTATTAAATTTGTTAAATTATATCTGTCAAATTAATTTGCATATAAACATGTTTCTTTTGAGTGAATGGTGCAGTTTGGTGCAGCTTATTGTAAGTTAAAAGTTGATAATCAAAAAGTAGAAATCAAAAGTATCTCTTTCTTAACTTCTAAATAATCAGTTTTTTTCAGTTTATTTAAGCTATTTTTGTCTAAAAAGCTATTAGTAGAAATTGTACTAAACAATTTGACATAGATTTTTAGATTAAAATAAGTTATAATCACCTTCTAGAATTTACACAACTATTTCTTCTAAAATATAAGATTTTAAATGGGTTGATGACACTTTATAAAAATAAAAATAAAAGTCCCATTACCACTTGTTTACACAGTAATTTTGTAAAATTATGAAAGTGTATTTTGCACCCTACAATTTTATAACTTTTGCATTTTGCGATATTATCTTTCACCATATATGTCAATAATTTTTTAATAATTAAGAGTGTAAAGTGTAATTTTTACAAATTTATAGAATGCAAAGTAAAATATTTTACTGTAATTTTTTATATTTGCTAATTGGCCCCTAGGGTTTTATTCGTTTTTCCCTCTCCTTCGGGTGCTTCGAACGCAAAGCAGCCTCTTCTTTTTTGCTCGTTAGTCGGAGGTAAGTTTTGCTGCTCCCCTGATTTATACGTCTCTCTCTCTCTCTCTCTCTCCACTAGTTCTTGAAAAGGCGGAGGCTATTATAGCTCAAGGCGGTGGTGGTGGAGACAGTAACGATCAACCAAACTAGCCTCATGGTCACGTGAAGCTTTTCAACTGATGGTCCTTCAACGATGTTTAGGTTTTCTCTCTCTCTCTCACTTTTGCGTTTCAGAGTTCAATATGTACAACATCTATCTTTGCTCTGATGATTAATCTATGATCTCTCTCTGATTCATTTGAAACTGAAAATCGGTTTTTAAAGTGAACAAGGAGCCTCAGTTGGTGAATGAGTTTTTAAAATTTTGAAATTAAAGTAAACCAGAAGGTATTATGAAATAACAAAAGCAAAGCAATTTTTTTTTTTTAGATAGTAGAAAGCAAAGATTAGAAACTGTGAAACATTTTAAGTTAACAAAATAAGAGAGAAAAATAGATGAAACACCCTCAAATAGTTAGTCACATGTTACTGTTTTTATGGTTACAATATTATTATTTTTTTTGAATTCTAAAATATAGAAGAGTTCATTATATCTCGGAATAGATTGTGATTTTGTATTCATCATATTCTAAAGATTAACCCTTCAGTTGTAGCTTAAATTGCTCATCTTGGACCATGTATTGAGAAAAAATCTAGCTTAATTCAATTTCTCGCATAATTTTTTTTTACAGACAGTAATAGATATTGATATTTGAACAATTTGTGTATCCTCTGCTTTGCTTGTTTACGTGTCCGATAGAAGAATGTAAATTGTAGTCTCTTTGCGAAGAGATTACCATAGCTGCCTTTATTCATAAGGATACAAATAAGTGTTGGTGCCAAAAATGATTAATAGTAATAAGAGTTGTGTTATCTTCCTTACATTCTCATCAATTCAATGTCTTCTTTGAAAAAAAAAAGAAAAAAGAAAAAAGAAAAAGTACTTTCATTACTATTCATTTTTAATAAAGTTAATAAATGAACACTTTTGTTAATTGTTTCCGAATCTCCTTTACCCCCCATAGTTACTGGTGCAGTCTCAGGACATGGGAGCACAGGCAATGCCACAGGAATGCAAATGCCATCCTCATCCTCCAAATCAACACATCTGCAAATGCTACACTTTCTGTGGCTTTCACCACCCACCTTCACCTTCACCCTCACCCTCTCCCTTGACCGCTGAAATGAAACCATAATTGATGTTCAGAGAAACAAATTTAGTAAATTAATTACAACGCCTCTCAACAAAAAAGATTGGCAATGATTCAAGCTTATTTGTAGTTTTTATCACCTGGGTTTCTATTGTTTTTCTCTAATAACTTCAACATATACTGAGAAGGTTGAACGAATTGACAACTGTCCTAGTGATCGACAGTGAGCAGGCAATTCTCTCCTATATATATACATAGTAGAGAAAAAAAACATAGGGAATCACAGAATAGCGAGAGGTGTTGAGGAAAAAGACTTTTAGGAGTGACTTCTCTAATTTTTATATTCCTAAAAGGATAGTTTCGTAATATTAATGACACAATGTCGATCATCCTACAAAATTGGCCAGTTGCTTTGGCCCAAACGGCATTACGCAAGTTCTCTTTTTATTTTTCTTAATGCTGTACATGAGAATGTGTTTTTCAAATAACATATTTTATTATATATAAAGCAAAATCAGAAGAGAAAATGAATTAAACATTGGAACAAAACTACTTTTAAATAATAATAAAAAATCACCCATCAGAATGGATTGGCAAAAATTTTTGAAGCTAATTACCGACTTCAGGTGTTAGGAACAAGAAGAAATTGACAAGACTGAATGTACTTCATGATGATGCTTCTAAAACTTCAATCCAGAATGGATCGCCACTACTCCCCCAACAAGATTTTCATATTCAACTTTTTGAAATCCAGCATCTGCAATCATTGAAGCAAATTTCTCCTGCAATCATCAACGTAGAAATTATAAAATGGGTACATTTAGAATTAGACAAACAAATGGAAAATAAAAATCAATTGTTTCTGCCAATGATCAGTAGAACATGCCAGCCAGATTCTACAACCTGTGGTAGCAGGCTGTGCTTTTTATTAGCTCATTCATTGATATCTATCCAAATCTCCCAAGCAACACCAAATCCATGTTCCACCCAATAGTAGTTTTTCTTACCTTTTATTTTGTTAGATAGATGTTGTTTTAGGGTCACCCTCAATAGCCGTATCCTGTTTCCCCCTTTTCTCTCATTCTTCTCTCGTATTGTCTCACTCTTAACGTGATATCAAAGTTTTACCCTCCTTGTATTGTAGAAAAGGGTTTCTCGTTCTTACTCTTTGTTTTCTAGTCATCTTTTTCGTCATCGATATGTAAAAAAATATAGTACCATAATCAGTATGCTCAACTTGAAGAGAGGTAGTTACTGCTAATTTTTCCCAAAGTTTCTAGTTCATTTGATATGGTTTTTCAATTTTTTATTTTTCAAAAAAAAAAAATGATCTATTTATTTGAGATCTTCGATCAGGCTTTGTTTTTCACACCAGTGCTCAGAACATCTCTTGTGGGTGCCAAATGTTAATACCTCATTACAATTGAGGATCAAAATCTGGGTGCAACACTGACTAGGGCTTTTGGAGGATAACCCATACTTGTTTTTCAAGTTTGGATGAGTTTTTGGCTTCTCAAAGGTTCGGCTGGGAGTGTTTCTCATATATAGTACCCTTTTTTGTTCCTTCGTGTATTTCTCAAGTTACGAGCCTATTTGGGTTGCTTTATGATCCAGTAAGCCATTTTTGGTTATTCTTGTCTGCTTTTGTGAGGCTTTTATGCCAGTGGTAGGCATGAGTATTATGACTATAAGATGAAGGGTTCAGCCCCAGCAATTCTCAATATCAATGATATAAAGATACAACAATATTATAAAGCGATTCTAAGAATCATAACCTGAGGGGGAAAGCGACGAATGCTCTCAACTAAGTATTGATAAGACTCCCGATCACCTGCAACTAGCTCTCCAAGGGCTGGAATGACTGAGAATGAGTAGTAATCATACCTGCAGAAAGATATGCAGCAGCCCACTATTACGGCTAAAGCAAACTTAAGAAGCTGGAAAATAAATAGAAAGAAAAAAAAAATGCTCAATCACCTAAAATTTGAAAAGCATATGTTCCATCATGAAGGAGCTTACAAGCTAAGTCTTGAAGATACTTACAACTGCTTAAATCCTGGAACTTCTACATGGCTCAGTTCAAGGCAAAGGAATCTTCCTCCAGATTTAAGTACCCTAGCAAATGGACCAAAAGCAGTCAATTCAGCATGTTAACATACATTTTAGAGCAAAAAAATTGCAGAAGCGAAGATACAAATCATGGAATAAGCAAATTGACCTTATATATGTATGTATGAAGTACAACACTAATGTCCCCTGAGGTGTACCATTAGCATTGTTCCCAAATTTTATGTGGACCAAAATGCTATGCAAGGAATAGTACAATAAAAATGGGCATTTGGGACAATTCCAATCTTTTACCTTAGTTGTATTTTAGGTCTTCTCCTTTCCGCTTATAGAAAGAGACCAAGGGATGCCAGTAGTGGCCTTCTCTCTCTCTCTCTCTCTCTCTCTCTCTCTCACACACACACACACACACACACACCCCACTATGATGACCACCATCTAAGAAGCACGAACACTTCTAAAAAGATGACGTATCCGTATCATGTCCGTGTCGGACACCGACACTCTTTGGACACTCTTAGGACACGTGTCCGACACTCTTCAAAACGTGTCCTATTTTTTTAATTTTTTTAAAGATCCGGACAATCTTTGGACACTTGAAGGACACACGTGTCAATCATTTAAATACACATGCCTATCTATTAGACACATGTGAAACTAATTATAAGTTTGAACAAAACAATTTAAGATACAATAATAAAACAAAAACCATATAAATTTATAGGAATTAGTGTTGTATTGCATTTTTTTATTATCTTTGAATGACATATTCATATATATAACATATAATAAATATATAAAATTATATATTTCTTGCGTGTCCTCCACGTGTCGTGTCCTACATTGTTTGAAAATTAACGTGTCGGCGCGTCCGTATCGTATCCGTATCGTGTCACGTGTCCATATCCATGTCCATGCCCATGCTTCTTAGACCACCGTTTATGCTGAAATCAACCTATTAGCACTCCTATCGGTGCTAACGGAACCATCTTTCACATGACAACCAAATATCCAAAATCAATTACGCCCAGAACCCACTTCAATCATTTGCAAGTGTAATTGGCAATGAGCCAACACCATGTTCATCACGTCACATAGACATGATTTGCGTATGGATCAATTGATTTTCAAGTAAACACACCACCGTCATATGGGTAGGCTTATTGACGTACATGGATTGCATAGTCCACGGTTTGAGGCTAATCCCTGGTTACGTTACACGGACTCGGGTGCGGGTATCGGGTACGGGTGTGTATCTAAGGGTCAGACACTTTAAAATTAAAAATTAAGGATACGTGGATACGGATCCAAATTAGGATACGGGTACGGGGATACATTAAATAGGTATATTTAAAATATATTTATTATATGAAGATGAGTTTAAAAAGTTTAAGGAATAACAAACTTTATTAAAAAAAAAAACAGATAAATAATAAATAAAATTATAAACATTATTTTAGACATAAAATAAATTATATTATATATGATAAAATAAATTATTTTAATTTTAGACATAAAAGTTATGTTATTTATGATATATTATATTATATAATATTTTTTTGAATAAATAATATTATATTAATATAGTTTATATTATATATAATTCAAATTATATTAAAAAGAAAAGTCGGAGACAGACTGATCAAAAAAAGAAAAGAGAGAGAGAGAGAGAGTGACGAAGAGACTTCGCAGATCAGGCGACGAAGAGAGTCCAAGATCGAGATAAAGGGGAAGACGACGGAGCACAGTACATCGACTTCGCAAATCGATCAACTTCGCAGATCGATCAACTTCGTAGATCGATCGATGCTCTGCAACCGATTGAAGTTGAAGGCCAGGTTCTCTCCTTGCTCTCTCCTCTTTCGATTCTTCTGTCGTATCCGTTTCTAAGGAGCCGTATCCCGCACTCGTACCCGTGTCGTGTCGTGTCGACATGGGTACCTTCGCAATTCCAAAGAGTCCGTGTAACATAGATCCCTGGGCACATGAGCACATAAGGTTCAGTGCCCCTGCACTTACCAAGATAAAATCCCTAAGGTGGCCCCCAAAAGGGGGGATTTGTACCTCATAACTATTTTAACCGTAGGACCTAATTATGGTGAGCAATGAAACCAATGTAGCTTAGCCTCAGTGATTGTAACAATTAGTATCATAAAATACTTCTTCAAATACCAAAAAATTTGTGACTTGGGCCTTTCAGGCCAATTCTTGACAGTTTCCTAATTGATTCTTAGTGTATCTAATATTTTCCAAATGAGCACAGTGATTCTCCGGAAAATGAAATACATCTTACAAACAAACTCATGCACAAGCTAGCAAATTTGTGCAAGTTTTCCGTTTGGTCTGCTGAGAGCATGCACCAACATAATTTAAAGCCATCTTCTAGTGGGCCTCCCATGGGATAAGCAATATGATTTGGTGCAAAACCACTACAAGAAGGAGATATTAGAACACAAGTCACCTGGATGTCTATCTTGTGCGACCATAAAATATATGTAGCCAACAAATTTATATAAATACACCCTCTACAGTTGCTTTGGGCCTAATAGTAATATCATTTTTAAATGTGTATCTTTTGTGCTCTTGGTCCCACTCTTGCATTCACTCATACAATTTATTATTTATTTTTTGGGGTACGTTGGAGGTGCATGGGGGAGGGGGAATCTTTCCAATGGCAATACTTGAACCCTCCTCGACCCTAGTGAGTTGCAAAGGCTCTGGCCAACTAGATACAGTTTACTTATTTAAATGTAAATATGACACATATAACCCACATTCCAAGTACGGAAAAACACAACCAAAACATTCAACTAATCAAATGATAAGAATTAGATCTAACTTTTTCTTCTCTTTCTTTCATCATGTTATAAAATGCCCTTTAAAAGAGCAGTCATTGTGGATCAGGGCCTCAATCATTCTGCACAAAGTATAAAGTTTGCCCCCTTTCAAATGTTATTATCTATGGAGAAATAGCCATTTTATTGATCCAGTTTCCCAATTAAACCTTATGGTTAGATGCCTTATAACTCTATATTCACTATATGCTACTAATGCATAAAACAAACCAGTTCAAGAAGTTGGATCTTACCTGTAAGCTTCAGCAAGAACTTTTTCTATGTGTGTAACATTCCTAATCCCAAAAGCAATTGTGTAACCATCCATTGAATTATCTTCAAAACGTAGAGCTTCAGCATCTCCTTCCACCCATATGAGGGATCGGTGATTTCCAAGTCCTAAGGCATGTCAAAGACAATCTCATTCGTGAACATAAATGGGACATATCATCCAGAAGAAATGGGACTGAATTTCAGTCCCACTAGAGTAATACAAGATCTGCTCAATTTCAGGTTCAGTTCACATATTTTACCTCTCTCTTGGGCCCGCTTTTTACCAACATTCAACATATTTGGGTTGATGTCACAGACACATATCTGAGTTTCTTCCTGTAGATTATCTTCAAGAGCATCTTGCAGCGCTCTATGGTCAACACTGTTTATAGTTTCTAGGATCCTGAAAGCAACATCCCCTGTAAAATTTGAGTATTTTAAACCCAAGCTCAAAAAGTGTAATATGGATAGCTTTAAATACCACAACGAAAATAGTTGTAATTTGGTGTCCAAAATTTAAGTTCGCATTTACTTGAGATGATAAAAAGTGATTGTATGCAAGCTTGGCAGCATACCCTAAATCCTCAGATAAAGGACAGTATCTCCTTCTCATTTTAAAAATATGATCACATAAAATTGCAGCTCTGAGTATCAATAACTTCAAAGTTGGATAAAGCCACATGGTTTGTTACGTTAAATATTTATATCATTATTAAATTTATATATGCACAAGGACATCAGTAGAACTACCACTGTTACTATTTTATATTAAGTCACATTTTGGACGAAGAGAGAACCTTAGAATTGAGTCCTCACTGAAACTTTTGGCTACGACGCATTCAAATGAAACGAAACCACAAGCCGTCAAATGGAATAGTTCATGAATTTATTGTTTCCCTCCTGCCCACTATAGATGTTTTCATTCCAACTCTACAGTCTAAAATAACTTGCAAAACATTTTTTTTTTCCCTTTACCTCTATTTCATTTCATTGCCAAAAAATTATATATATAAATATATAAGAAATGAAAAATAGAATTTTTTTGTCCTTCTCTGTTGTACATTTCATGTCATTTTCATTTGGAAGTATGGAAGCCATACTACATTTAAAAAATAACCATGAAGCTAAGTTGAGTTGAATTTTAGTGTTCAAGACCCTCTAACTCCAAAAAATGAAAATCTAAAAATCAGAAATAAAAGTTTATCATTGTTTTGCCATGTTTTTAACCAACAAATAAAGCATTGTACACGCCTATGTCTCATTCATATCCCCCTGCTCCCTGTTCTAGTCTTTCTACCCCAATAACTACAAAAATGCATTGCATATGCTGCATGCAAAGATTACCTGTCCCACCAGCCACATCAAGATGCTTCATTCCAGGAAATGGATTTAATTTTGAAACCAATCTGAAAATGTTCAGCAATAACAAATGCATGGTAAGAAAGAAGAGAGGGTAATGTAATGCAAACATAAAAATTGTCAAGATGCATCACCACGAAGTCAGACCTATCCTTCCATAATCTATGTAATCCAGCACTCATCAAATCATTCATGATGTCATAGTTCGAAGCAACGCTGCTGAAGACATTGCCAACCATTTGGCTTTTTTCTTCTTCTCGTACATCCTTAAACCCTGAAAATTTAACTTGGGATGTCATCTTATTACCTATCAACATTGACTGAAACAGAATGATGCAATGTAGCAACCGACACAAGAAAAAAATGATGATTTTTGTCCTTGCACAACCAACGTGCATCAACACCCCCATACTGGGAACTAACTTGCATCCATTTGATTTTCTTTGACCAGATTAATGAATACTACTCCACTAGAAAGCATGGACGCACCTATTTGGGTGCCACGCCTGTGTCCAAGTTAAAAAGCAAAGGGCAGAAAGTCAAATTCTTTGGGAAAGTTTAGCTGCTACTGGTGAAAACGTAAATTTGGAGCAAATAAATCTAACTATTTAAAATAGAACTATCTTAGATGTTCTAACAAACTACAAGAAATACATTTTTGTGAAATATTGCATAGACATATGGGGGTTTAAACCCATTTTTTCAATAGTGACAATTGTATTAATTTTTTTTTTATATAAATAAAAGTTATATATAGAGAATAATATATATATATATATTTTATTTTTTGACGTGTTTAATTGACACCACTCAATCAAGAGTGGCGTCACCCTGGGAGAAAATAAATGGATGCCAAAAACCAAAATAGAAAAGAGGTATGAATTTTACATGTTCATCTCTCCCTTCAACTTCTTAATATGAGATTCTTAAATCTTTACGCCGTGTTTGGTTGGGAGAATTGGGAAGGGACTTGGAAAGAGAAAGGAAAAGGTAGTTGAAATGTGAATAAAATATATTTACATTTCATCTAGTTTCACACAACTTTTTCCTTTTCCTTTCCATTTCCAAATCTCCCAATCAAACACAGTGTTAGGACTTCTTATTTGCTTGTGAATACCAATAAATTATAAATGTAAGACATTAAGGCTTTTATTATCACTTTTTTCTCACATATAAACACAGAAAATGAATTATTTGTTATTTGTTGAGGATATAATATAAATAATAAAGTTGCCCCTCTCTAACATCTTAAGCTTTTAGATGAGTTAGTAGTCAACAATCTAATATGATCTTGTGTTCAAACTTCACCACCTAACACAATAATTAAAATACTTGCACGTATCTGGCCCGCTAACGAAGGAGAATCCAGACACACATGAGGGGCATGTTGAGAATATATAATATAAATAATAAAGTAGCCCCTCTCTCTAACAACTTAATCTTTTAGATGAGTTGGTAGCAGTCAACAATCTAATATATTAAATGACAAATTATTTCATATGTAAAAAATGGATAATTGTTGTCATATAGTGTCCGGTGTCGACAACTGTGCTTCTTATGTAAATTCCGAGAGCAAAAAACAGAGAAAGAGTTACATACCGAAGCTTGTCGCATGAGAATGTAACAGAGAAGCAGTAGTGAACATAGGCAACTGCTTGCTTCTCAAACTCCTGGTAATCAGTCTCAATGCCATGTTTGCTCCTGAGTACAATTAAAAGTTCTGTATAGGAGCCCAACACATTTCACAATGACATTCCCACATGAAATGAATATTAAGAATGCATTAAGCAAAACATTTTGGCTTCTCAAAAAATCAAACAGGTCTAAATTTTTCTAGAATTACAAAAACCCAATGTCAACAATATCCTATTTTCAAAAACTAGTTAGTTTCGCATGAATTGTATTACTTTTAGTTCAAAGTTTTACACTACACTAATATTTTTTCCAAAAATTACATGAATGATCTACGTGGGTGTTATTAACTGGAACAAAGGATATTAGTTGATAGATCTAATGAAGTTTTGAATATCGTAATGAATTGAAAGATCCATTATAACGTACAAGAAATTGCAATGGACCATTAACTTAGAAGATGAGAGGGGAGATCGGGAGCAGAGTGGGTACCACGGAGAACTTCGCCGGAAAACAAACTGTCGCCGGACCGGAGTGACAAGCGTGGGCTGTCGCTGAACAGAGATCAGAGACGACTGAAGAAATCCCGAATGAGAGAGAGAGAGAGCGCGCGCATTTGAGCCCTAATTTCTAAAAATATACCGGAGAAACTATTTTTTTAAAAAAAATAACAAGTCACAAGGGCCATTTCCCTAAATAAGTCAAATTATTAATTTAATTTTCAAATTAAGCTTAGTTTTGAAAGATTTCTCAAAATAGACTAAAACGTGATTCAGAACCACGCTTTCACGTTTGTGCACCTGTCCCGCGTGAGAATTGAAAAGTCTTAAAAGCGTAGTTACAAAACGTACTTTTAATTAAGAAAGCGCGGTTACAAAAGGCGCTTTTAATTAATTTTTTTTTCTTCTAAAATCGCTGTTCTGAACCACGCTTTTAACTTACATTTTTTTTTGTTCTGAAAGCACGGTTGTGAACCACGCTTTTAACCAAAAAAAATTTCTTCTGAAATCGTGGTTACAAACCACATTTTTAGCTTAAATTTTTTTCCTTCTGAAAACGTAATTATGAACCACGCTTTTTGGCAAAAAAAAATTTCTTCTGAAAGCGTATTTGTGAACCTCACTTTTTTATAAGATTTTTTTCTTTAAGTGAAAGCGTAGTTTGTAACCACACTTTTAAAACTTATATAAAATCTCCTCAGCCCCGTGTTTTGCAATCACGCTTGTTACATTCACTCTCGCTGCCTACTCTCTCTCTCGCCCCCTGCTCTCTCTCTCTCGCTCTTAGTACTCTCTCTCGCTCTTACTGCTCTCTCTCTCTGTTGCTGTGCTCGAGCTCCCTCTGCTTCAGTATTGTCGCTCTTTGTGCTCTCTCTCGTTGGTATGGCTTCTGTCTCTCTCTGTTGATCTACTTTAATGCGTTTTTTGTGTTTGTGAAAATGTGAATATGGGTATAATGTTGATAGAATAGGGTTCATAAATGTGAAAATGTTGTGAAATTAGAAATAATAAATTAGGGTTAGGGTTTGTAATTGTGAAATCAGAAATTACGATTACGGTTTGAGAAATTAGGGTTTTGAATTGTGAAATCTGTTTAGAAATGTGAAATCTGTTTATAATTGTGAAATCTGTTGAATGTGAAATCAAATTTCTATTGAATGTGAAATCAGATTTCTGTTCAATGTGATATCTGTTGAATGTGAAATCTGTTGAATGTTGAATCTGTTTAGAAAAATTTAAATATTATGTTTGAAATGAGAAAATGAGGGTTATGGTTTTCTATTGAATGAGAAATCAGAAATTAGGGTTTTGGTTTTGAATTAGGGTTTTGAATTGATGAATGTGAAATCATTTTTCAATTAGGGTTAGGGTTTTAAATTGTGAAATCAGAAATGAGGGTTATGGTTTCAGAAATTAGGATTTAAGAAATTTATGATAAGTTAAATTTTTTTAATAATGTTATATGATTTTTTTTAGGAACAAATAATTTTTAAATTATAATATAATAATTTCTTGTATATTATTATCGTAACTAACTTTATAATTTCTTGGAAAAAACATGACAAAACACAGAAAATCTAATTTGTCTATATAAAATTATCTATAATTAAAATTTCAAAATTTTCTATCCCTTTCTTTCAAAATTTTCAAATTATATTATTTTTTCTTTCACTTTACTTTCCACAAATTTTTTCTTTTTAATCAAAACATATTTAAGGAATAATACTGCCATTCCCTTTTATTTTCATTCCAATAAATTAAGCACAGCCTAACAATATTTACGATATATTAAAAAAAATAAAAATAGAATCATATAATATATATTAGTGTCATACAAAATTGAATTACAAGGAACTATGTTTAAAGTTGTCATGGTTAGTCTAGTACTAATTATCCCGAGTCCATAGATCCAACTGATCATTATATCATTTTTTTCTTTCTCTGTTATGGAAAGTATAAGGGATGTTTGGCATAAAAGAAAAGCAAGTTCAGCCAAAAGAAAATGAGGAGAAAATTTAAGGGAAAGGGGGAGAAAATTTTCAGTTGTGAGAGGGTGGCCGTGTCTTCGCCGCGAATA